ATACTATTTTCGTTTCTATTACTGTCTTTTGATAACAGCTAACAGCTGCATTTTAGAACCTTCATGAATATATAAATGTATTTACACAACGAAAGAAAAAGATAAGCTAGTGAACTAAAGAAAATGATAACTATAAAAGATCGTTATCTATTTAGCTCTAGGCGATTTTTTTTTTGGGTAATACGCTAGACGATTCAGTCCTATTTCAATTTTTACTATTAATCACTAGTATACAACAATTATTATAAAATAAGTACTTTCATGCACAGCAAGAGAAGAGGATAAAGAAAAATAAACTTATCAACATCTTTCTGTTAATCATATATAGATAACTTGTTTTGCAACTTCAGTCGTATGTATCCATCTACTCTTTTAATATATACAGATCGTTATTAACTCACAATTATCTTATAGCTATTAAATAATTTTGGTAAATGTTTCATATTTTCTTAGGATATGTACAATAGTGTGCAAAAATTATAGATTCACTTTATAATCACAAATTGTTTCACTTCGCATGTAGTCATTGAGACTTAGGTGAGTTGATATATATGCACAGACAAAACAAAAACATGATAGATTTGTGAATTTTATTCTTTGTAATTTTTTATTTTAAGTGTTAATCATGTTTTATTTCTGATTTTAACATGTTATATCGTTGAGTTTAGACCTATTTAAAGTAAAAAATTTAATTGAGTAGTATTTTAGTCAAAATTTATATTTTGACTGGTATATTCACAGTCAGTCATCTATACGTATTTCCACGAAGGTGTGCCCATTTATGTACGACGTCTGAGCTAGTAACTTGTCGCGTGTACATCCTGTGACCGTGCATCGAGTTGTACACAAATCTGTATTTCTTCCCGAAGGAAAGGGTATTGAACTTCGTAAATAGAAATCATCAGATTCAAATTTTAGTAAACATCCAGCGTTAGGGCAACGACACTTTGACATTAAATAAATATTTTTCATAAAAATGCTAGTCTTGATTTGACAGGATTCAAAAAGTCGAATTTCTAGTCTAAAGCTTGTAGATAGGGATGTTATGAGTCTGTTTTTATATCTTTTTCAAACTTTGATACGAATCCCTGAAATATGACTAGATGGAACTTTCTTTGAGTGACTGAAAATGCAGAGTACATGTTTCTTTCCACAAAAAGATGTTAGCGAGCTTTCTGTGATTATTGCTTGCAAATCAATGTTCATTCAGTAACGTACTTCTAAACAAACCCGAGCCTGAGCTTACTGGAAAACATTATTAGAACAAATGCACAATGCGAATAAAAGAACGCTCAGAGCTCTGCGACCTCTCATTTCGTAGGAAAATGCTCACTCTATATTTGTGCATTTTCAAGAAAACTTTTGCCTCTTCCCTTTTTCTAATCATTAAATTTCGCCCTACAGAATCCGCACGTAGGCTCGTAACATTCCTACTTGTAGAGTAATGCAGCGCACGATTAATCAAAAAAAGGCAAAAAACACTTTCTTGTCTTTTTTTCTATAAATCGATTAAAACAGACGGCACTCTGATGTTTTTTGAATAACTTCTGAGTAGTAAGAGGTAGAGACCTGCTATTTTTAGATTATGGGAAAGGACACTGGGAGAGGGACGCATAATTCTATGCTAAATTGAGCCAAAATTCAGCAGGTCTACCATGGTGTACCTTTCAAAACAAAATTTCCGAATCTGCCATTCCAAAAATCTTCAAAAACAAAAAATTTCTCCAGATTAAACAAACTTCAAAAGTCTTCTTTCAGAATATTTGATTTTTTCGCTGTGACCGTACTAAAGTAACCTTCTAGTACTTTCACTTCTTAGCTAAATTGCTTCAGATTTTTAAAACTCACTCAGTTTCGCCTGCTGTATGGTTCAGGGATATTAAAAATATTTCTCATACTGAGATTTCATCTGAAGATCTTCAGAGGTTTATGGAAAACCTGTCAAAGATTCGCTTTATTTTTGGTAGTTCATCTTCTCTTATGCTCACTCTTCAACTTTCATGCAATTTGATAGAGCAATGAAGGTACTAGAAGATTTTTACTTGTACGGTCACAGCGAAAAAATCAAATATTCTGAAAAATTCATCTTTTGAAGTTTGTTTAATCTGGAGCAAAAAACAAGCATTGTCACGCGGTTTCCCGTGTCCGAAAACCTATGTTTCATGTGTTTTTAGGGTTTCTGGACTTCACATTTAGCTGATAGGTAGATCTTCGAAGATTGCCAGCAACGCCGGAACCACAGTAGATGGAGACTTACGACTTACGCCAGGTTGTGGAGTGACATCTGTTGTATATCCATATGCGTTTATAGCAGTACTTTGCTATGTAGATTTTTGGAATGGCAGATTCGGAAATTTTGTTTCGAAAGGTACACCATGGTAGACCTGCTGGATTTGGCTCAATTTAGCATAGAATTATGCGTCCCTCTCCCAGTGTCCTTTCCCATAATCTAAAAATAGCAGGTCTCTACCTCTTACTACTCAGAAGTTATTCAAAAAACATCAGAGTGCGGTCTGTTTTGAAACAAATAGTAGTTTTTTTCCATCAGGAAAGGTCAAGTGTGAGTGTCAGTTTAGTGATAGAGGAACTAAAAGGACACTCGTTGACTTTTCTGTTATTTTTACTATTTTTACAGTTAACCCCCCCTCCTCACATTAGAAGCTCACCTCATAATAGAAGCCCACCTTCTATTATGAGGTGTCGCGGCATCTTATAAATGATAAATTCGATTTGTGTCCTAGGATATGTCAAAGTCAAGAGAAAAGAAATAGACAATGTTATACTGATGGGGGATATGTTAATATTCTTTATCTGTAAACAGTCGTGCGTGGAACAGTTTTATCCTTGTTTTGCTGTACTTTTGCACACGTCTGTTACATCACATAGAGCATTCCAGTCTAATTATGATGAATTTTATTATGCTCCAAGACTCATTAATTTTTGAATAATTAACTATTTGGCTGTTGTATACACGATTGATGTGAGAACAACGGTATCTTCTTGAAGATAATTGGCTTGGAAAATATTTTTTTATACAACATTTTGACAAATTTATTCGCATCCAGTACATTAAGCAGTAAAAAATACGAGCGTTTCAAAACTAAGAAAGCCTGTTTTTTATTTGTTCCAAATATGAATATCACGCGAGTTTTCTGAAAATTGGTAGAGCTGAATTTTCCATTAAAATATTTATTCTGCAGAGAACGTCAGGTTGAACACCACTTTTCTGTTCTTCAACTTTTCAGAGAAATATTTTTAGTTTTTCGTCTTTGCAGTTTCCTGCGTTTGAATTTATTAACCATTATGATGCCTATAGTTGTATCTGACCGAACAACACGTACAGAGTAAAGAGATTGTTCCCAAGTTGACCCTTTATTAAAGCTAACTAACTCCAAAACAAAAATGACATAGATTATGGCTCTTTTTTGGCTAAATTAAGGAAAAAATTTTCCAGTTTAAACTAATAGTGTCGTAGAAACAATTTTTTTTCTAGACTAACTAAGTATCCGTAGACATGTGACCACTGGAAAGAGTTTCCAAACTTTGCCAAAATATTCATCTATATACAAAACATCTATAGTGAATTCTATATAGTGTAGTTCTTTTCCTACCTTTCACTGTAGGATTTCTGAAACCGTCTCGTTTGTAATGTAAAATCTATTTTTGTCCATCCAGAAATACTTTTATGAAAATCTAAGTTCATACTCGGAATCAGCATTAAACAATATATAACACAATAAGTTTTGGATTAAAAAAATATTTATCGAAAGTTTTTCTCATAACCAGCAAGACCGATTTTTTGAAAAAAGTGATTTTCTGAAAACGTTTATATTGTCTTGAAAGGTATTAGAGATAACTGAACAATAATAATTATTCATGAAAAAATGATTTACGAACAAAAATGGTGATGTCCGACCTGTTATTAGTAAAATGTCCGCTGTATGACAGTGGTCTCGTACCTTTCTGGTGTCTGTAGATATCGACAGTAAATTTTGTCATTTTGAAATTTCTAAGCAGAATTTAAACAAGCGCTGTTTATGTCACATTGACACAGATTTACGTTCCACAAGTTTTTGCAAATTTACTGTACGGTGTAGGAGCCAAATTGTTTTCTAAATATATAGAGAGAGAAATATTTTATAAACGTCAAAATATCTGCTACAAATCTTATCTACATTCTGTTGTGAATCGCTACGCTTCTGTTGTAGATTTTGCTGTAATTTTATCAGCAGAAAGTTCTTTGAGGGACATCAAATACCTCTTGAAATATTAACTTTGATGATAAGCGAAGCAAGTGCCACGTATGTCAGACTCTTTATTAATCTTTTTCATTTATAGACTTTTGATGGAATTTACATCAGTGAGTTATGTTAGCCTTTGACACAACAAATGCACAATGTTATTCAAAACTTATCTGACTAAACATATATCGTCTCATCTCTTAATACAACATTATTTATTTGGTTAATTAACAAAGTTAAACAGTAGAAAAAATAAATTAAAAAGAAAAAGTTTGTATAGTTCTTTTGCTCTCTAGAGTACGCTCTGAGGCTTCTTTTTCTGTTCTATTGGAGTAGTTGCGCTTTGTTAGTTATCGATGCATTAATATAAAGTTTGACATATATTTCTAGAGAATTTAATTGCCGTTAGTTGAAAATGTTTTTTTAACAGATGAGATATGTGGACTATATCTGTGTGCAGAATAAAATGATGAAACAGTATGAAGCTATTTATAATCAATTATTGTAGGAATAAGTAATTGAGTGAGAAGAAAATATTTTGTATTTATTGATTACATTAATTCGAAAAAAAAAGATGTACTAATAAAAAAAAAACAATTAAAAAATTAATTTAAAAAAATCACAATGACATTACACAAATCATTGTAGATATTACACTATGTTATTCTGGTTACTGGTTTTTTTTTTGTTCGAATGACAATGTTAAATAATCAATTTATCCATTATACTAGATACATTCTATAAATTGAAATACCGTAAATGGCGACCTATTTTCATTCAATTAAACGATTTTTTACCATTGAACGTATTCATCATGGTATTCAAGGTTTTCTAACAGAATATGAAACTCCAAAAATCGTTACTATTCATAGTATAACATTTGCTATTATGTTGCGTGTAATGCAAATTTTATTATTACTTTACGGTGTTATTTATTTACTTATATTTAAACACGGTTATCAAAAACAAGATTCATCCATTATTAGCTCAATAACATTAAAAGTGAAAGGAATTGGTTATATAAAAACAGCATTAAATCAAACATCAGTTATTGATGGTGCTGATTATATTATTCCACCATCTGAAAATAATGCCATATTTGTTATGACAAATTTTATTCGAACAGATCAAAAACGTGCACTATGTGAAGAATCACATGATGTACAAGAATCTATATGTATAAATGATGAAACATGTAAAAAATTTTCAAAAAATTTATTACCAAATGCAAATGGACGTTGGACAGGAAAATGTTTAATAAAAGAACAAAATTTAAATGATACAATAACAAATCAAACTGGACGATGTGAAATTGAAGGTAATTCAATTAAAAATTATTTCGATTCTACGTAGATATATGGATAAACCGTCTCGGATCCGATCTCGACACTGACTGAGACTAGAAGAATTTTTTTATCGAATCTAGAATTGAGACCAAGAATTTTTTTGAATGATTTCGTTAAAAGAGCTGAAAATTTACCTTTTCTCCATACTCAAATAGAACTTTTATGAATAAATCTGACAGTTTTGTTTCTACACATTGATCTTTCTATCTAGTCTATTTACTGTTTCATGTAAAATTTATTAAGTCATCAAATGGTGAAAAAGCATAACGAGTTTCACTCAAAAACAAGTTTATATATTATCAAATATATCATCATTCATCAGACTGTTTACATCTGTGTCTGTCTTGTTCAGAGATGGGCAACTCCAACATTTTAGTGGAATTGGAATTGCGTTTCTATTAGATTAGAGTTAAATTGGGTTCAGATTTTTTAACTCTAACCCCACAAGTTCACAACTTCGGTTAAAAACTTTCACAATTCTGAAAAGTTTTTCCTGTTTTGGTTTTTTACAGAGTGGTTTTCGTTTCCGATCTCATCGATGTAGAATAGCAAAAAGTAAGCTTTCGAAGTTAACGTTTTTGAAATACAATTTTGAATTGTGTTAAATTGACTTTTTTGTGTGTACTCTTGTAAACAAAAGCGAAAATGATCTAAGACAAAATAAGTTCGAGTTGGAATTGAACTTCTTTAAGTGGAAATGAAGTTGAAGTTTAGCCGGAGTTGCCCATCTCTGTTCTTGTTTCTCAGTCATTTCATCTCGTCTTCGTTTTGTACCGAAAAATGTTGCTGTTAATAAATCATGAATAACATTATGATCAACTTTTTCCAATAACAAGAGGTTATTCTTCAAAAACATGAGTTTATTAATTCATTTTCGTAAGAAAAATATTTTTCGAGATCGACACTGGAACTGAAAAACGTTGGTACCGTTCATGTCTAATTCTATTTTGATTATGTTTATTCTTGTTTCACTTGATATACTATCGTTTATTTATTTACTGTAGGTTGGTGTCCGGTGGAAGATGACCGAATCCCACCTCAACTTGTTAATGAAGCATTAAATTTTACACTATTTGTTAAAAATTTTGTTGAATTTCCAACATTTAAGATTATCCGAAAAAATATTGTTGATAATATGAAACCATGTAGTATGTAGTTACAATAGAAAACTTTAAGTAATAAATGTTTTATTATCTGAATTATGTTCTAGTTTATGAACGTACTAAAGACGACAAGTGTCCAATATTTCGTTTAAGAGATATTATTGAGACAGTTGAACCAAATTTAGAAGAACGAGAACAAATGCTAAGATTAGGTGGTGTTATTCGCATTAAATTAGAATGGGATTGTAATTTTGATTATGATGCAAAACGGTATGTTATATTTTTAAACATAATTTGAAAAATAATTAACATTATTTTGTTATTTTTAGTTGTATACCAAAATATTCATTTGGTCGATTAGATGCACGATTTACTGAAAAATCATTTTCTGTTGGTTTTAATTTTCGATTTGCTTCACATTGGAAACGTTCACAACGACAATATCGAACATTGACAAAAGCATTTGGATTACGTCTTATTATATCGGTTAGTGGACAAGCAGGAAAATTTGATTTTATTACATTAACACTTAATATTGGAAGTTTAATGGGTATATTTGGTCTAGCTACGTTTATTTGTGATATTGTCATGTTACATTTTTGTAAAAAGGCTAGTGTCTATCGTCAATACGTATTTCAAAAAGTTCATTTAAATACACTTAAAAATAGTTCGACAATGGAGACTAACTGTAGTCATCTATCACGAAATAATTATAATAATAAGTCTATTACGTTAGTAGATGATGATATTATTAGCATTCAACGATCACGAGCAGGAACAATCACAGAATTAAGCAATTCACGTCCGTTAATTGTCGATAATACAAGACAACAACAAAAAAAATCTATCTCAATGGATACTATCATACCATGATTTTAACTTCTATTCATAATTAAAACTACAGTATAACCAAAGTGCTTTCAAGAATCCGGATGATGTACAAATATTCAAATAATTTTTATTTGAGTTGGTGTGTGTTCATCTACACGACATTTTCTGCTTAAAAAGTTCGAAACCTGTGATAGTCGCGCTATTAAGCTTATTTTATGAAATCGATTTGAATTTAGAAAACGCAGAAAATGTAAGAACATCGTTAATAGTGATACTTAATCATTTCTTCAGCAACAGTTTACCGTATTCTTAAAATTCGAACAGCTACAATTCCTGGTACTATGTAAAGATTCTTTTTAAACTATTTTTTGTACATAAGAATCTTCCTTGCAACATTTTTCTCTCTTTCCTAAAAAGTGTTGGTGAAAATTTTTTAGTCCCTCGTTTCCTCTATTTTTACTACTACTTGTTGTAAAAAGTCTGGAAGATCAGCAAGATACTGTTTTTCTGCAATATTTAGTTGTTCTTATTATGTGGTCTGTACCTAGTGTCAAAGTTTTTTCTTGTCTATTTATTTTTGTTCGCTGATGATCAGATATTCCTTGTGTTATTTATTGTTGCAAAATAAACTCAATTCTTACTAAAGAATCTCCCCAGATGTAACACTCCGTTTTCAATGATTCATGAGCCGATCGATAGAGGATAGTGAGCTGGTAAAAACTCTAAAAGAATTTGGCTTCATGGTACTTCTTTCAGATTTATCAACATTTTTTGTTTGCCTGTGCAAGGGAACCTAGTAATACTAAAAATTCCGTAACTTAGTCAAAACAACAAATTAAGAACTGAAATTGTTTTCCACCACTGTGCTAGATATCTATTATAATCACAGAAAGTTTCTCTTTAAAAAAAATAATAAACTTTCCTAGGTGGGAGATCTCTACACGACGGGATGGAGACAACGGTCTTCCTGATGATGCTGTTCATCACGATGACCGATCAACATCCCACCACAAGCCTGGACGGCCGTAAAGAAAAACCTAAAAGAGTCGTTTGTGCAATTCCTCCCTATGAACGCAAACGTCTATCAAAATTCAGTACTATTTGTCTTCTGTTTCCATGAAAGTCCCATTCCTTTATTCCTTATCACCTTTGGCTTGTTGGAAAACACATGGGTTTCCCTTAAGTAGGAGAAATCAATAGCCTTGTAAGTACTGGATTAGAAAGGCTGCAACTTTCTGTGATAATAATAGATATCTAGCACAGCGACGAAAAAACTTTTAGCGCTTTACTCGTTGTTTTGACTAAGTTACGGAATTTTTAGTATTACTAGGTTCTCTTGCACAGGTAAACAAAAAAGTTCATAACTTTGAAAGAAGTACCATGAACCCAAATCCGTTTAGGGCTTTTATTAGCTCACTATACTCTATAGATCAGCACATAAATCATTGAAAACAAAGTGTTACATCTGCAGACGTTCCTTCGTTAGTGTTTCTATAAACAACGCATCCATATCAAACGTTTGAAGAGTTAATTGACTTATGCAGCTGTTAAAAAATCTGAATATTTTATATGTAATTCTTCGGCTTTACACATCGAAGCAGTCCAGCATAGGGAAAAGATTTGGCGAGACACTCATTCCTGTATTTCTCAATTTCTGTATTCATGAATTTCTCTATTTCTGCATTTCTACATCTGTGCTGTCGGATATTCTCGAGTGTCAGCATGGAATAAATCTATAGATCATTAAAATAAACAAATAGAGAAATGTGATCCATTTGTTCAACATTTCCAATCTGAGTAACATTTTATTTGAAGACAGACTCTCACTGGAAACACCAGTGAAGGTTAGAGTTCTAGATCGCACAGCAGGCCGTGTAGAAATATAAACATCTAAATACTCCAGAAAACTTTGATAATGCAAAATATAAATATCTAAATATAGGAGGGGGTATGTTTGTAAATGTGCAAACACTTAAATATCTGGAGGACGTATGTTTGTAAGTATCTCGACGGGGTAGGTTTATAAATATCTAGAGGGGGTACTTTTTATCCCGTTGAAAAAATATTGCAATATCCAATACGCTAATATAATGACTGTTAGCGTACACATTCTTATAAATATGCTCTTTCTAAGTATATTGTTGAAAAACTTTCAAAGCATCTCCATACATAAAAAACGAAAGATTGAAAAATATGTCAGATTTTGCTAAATTATTCATGTCATCAACCACAAAAGAACGTCAAAATCTAACCATAATTAAAAAATATATCTTTATCTTAGTCGAAATAGAGTTTTGCTTATTCTCTTAAAATTTTTCTAAAAGTCTTTGCTGAAACTACGCTTAATTGCTCAAAAGCTGAGAAATTACCATAAGCATTGACATATTTCTTTCTTTAGTGCGACTGTCAAATACGTTTTTTGTCTGTTTGAGATTTTTATGCTATAGGGAATAAATATTTTCTATGAATCACTGTAAAAAGCCTATATATATATATCTATACTTAGAAGGTCGTGTACACACATTTTGTGTTATTATTTTGAAAAAGAAAAAGTCGAACAATTGCGGCATTTGTCTTTTGAATGACGGTGATATATGCCAAATTAATTGCGGGAAAACAGTGATAAATGATGAAGGCTCTGAATTTTGCACAAAAACTTTTCGTTTCTAAATCTCCTTAAATCAGACATATATATAGCTTGATACGTAGGTCTCTTGTAGTAAAAATTTAACCTAGATGGAACTTATAATTCAACTAGTGAAGTTGACATTTTAATTTCTGTCGTATAGTAGTATATATGTACTAATTCCTCCTCCTAACTTTTTGGGAAAAGATTGTATTTTCCGAATTATTTACTTCTTGTTTATTTTATACTCTTTGTTGTACACATATGTTTTTATTTCTTTTACACCTGAAGATGAAAGTTATATCTTTCGAAACGTCGAGTGATTCTAATCAATTAATCTAACCTATATCTTTTTCTTAAAATTTTTTATTTTAATTAAATATGCATTTCAAAACAGCTGCTGTTATCATGACAATATCTATTACATATTTTTGAGAAGCGTGGTTATGGCTTCATTTCGAAGAGCAGGGAATTCTCTATCTTTGTATACTACAGTTTTAGCGAAAAACTTTGAAAACATCGGAAAAGTTTAAGGAATAAAGTAGATTATCTTCGTAGAAATTGTGACAAAAAATACTAAAATTTTTTGCTTTGATAGACTAGAAGCAGTTTTTGAAAGTCATACGTGTTGGGAAGTAAAAAGCGAAGCATTTCTGATCATTTTCGCCAAAATTCATATTGGACCATTTTCTTAGAGAAATCATTTCCCTTCCTTTATCAAAGATAATAGATAATAGATGGTTTACTATCACAACATAAAGCGGCACATTAAATCTGTAGTCTGATTTGACAAATAATAAAAGATTTACGTCTTTGTACAAAAACAACACTATACACTATACAGTTGGAAACTTAGTTGGTATGACGACTTTGTTGATAGAACAAATGTCACATTCTGGGATTTTACTGTCAAATTACCAAATGTGATGATTCAACTTCAGATTTTGTTTCGATTGTTATATCTGTTCATTTACAATTAAATAAATAAAATTTGAATTCATAAAGACTTTCACCTCGTATTTGTAACAATTCATATATTTCTAACTGAACTTATCTCTCTTCTTCATGTTTTTCTCTGAGCTTAAGAGCAACATGCATGTAGATTGTCTGTGTGTGTCTTTGACACAAAAGCATTTGAAAGATCTCACTGTCTGAAATCTATTCCAGTAACTACAAGTCCAATCTAGGCCAAACTTCCTGGAAGTGTTGGTCATGTCAAGGTATGCTGATGAATTTGTTTTTGACTCCTCTTGTCCCCATTGGCGAGATGCTGCCATAGCAGTGATAAAAATGGGACAGTTAGAGTTTCTCAAAATTTTCGCTCATTTTAGAAGCTACAGAGCTCAGAACGGTTTTATTTCGTAGGAAACTGCTTTGATTTTTGACCGTATAGAGCAAGCTCTTAGAAATTTTGTGTTACTGATTGACAAAACATTTTTCGTCAAAACTCCTTAAAACTTCTTTCAATTTTTCCAGAGAATCCTAGTTTTTTTAAACTTCTGAAACTAGATTCAAAAAACCCGAAACTATCGGATGTGTTTAGCTCAAGATATTATTTTATTATATAAATAGATCGTGTTAGAGAGGATGTACCGTGATAAAGTACAGACATATTGCTATAGATAAAATTTCGGACTAAGTTGTAGTTTGTATTTTATGTGGATACAAACATCATCGCAATATTGGTGATCTGCATTTTGATAAAACATTTATCGCCATTAATTACGATAAAATCAGTATTTTCATTTACCATGATACTTTCTTCATCACGACAGACATATTATACTAATCGTATTTCTTCAAGTAACAAATGATGAGGAGTCTATATGCATAATCAGTATAGAAGCACAACAAATAATTGATCATGCTAAAAGTCAGTATTGCAAAATATTAAACTATAATCTAGTTTCCCGATGGATCTTTGTGATTGATTTAGTGCGGTACTAGATAATATTCCGATGAACATCACAAATATCGCGATGCTTTGAGAAGTTTACACTTTTATTACATAATAGTGGATTTAGTTTGCAGGTCACTGCAAAACTAATTTCACATATTCGAATATTTATTCGTACAAAACTGATTTTGTGTTTTTCGATAGTTTTAGTTTAGAATACTATAACAGAACATTTTTCCGCTTGTATTCTGACGGAATAAAGCTTATATCACCTTTTACCACGATTTATCGCTATTTTGAAGATAAAGAAACCCATGGATTGATATTCAGATTATCTACAGTTGATTGGGTTCGACTCAGAGATCTCGCTGCAGTCGTTTAGAGTTTTTAAGTTTTAAAGACCAATTATCGGCCAACTCTAAATATCATACTTCCCACTTTGTTCTCTCTGACCCCATTCTTTTTTTTTGTGTAAGTCCTTCCCTGAATTCCTCTGAAAGAGGAAGACCAAGAATTGAAAGTTTATAAAGGGAGAAATTGCTGGAAATCTGAAAATTTTCCCGCTCATCCCGCAGCCGCAAACAAGCTAACGGAGAATCTTAATAAAATTAAAACAAATTAATGTAAACGTATACACTCGACCCATAGGTTTCATCCAGTCCCGCCTTAGTTCATTCATCACGTTTGAACGGAGAAGTTACACTTTAGACCCAAGATCTGCACTGATAAGCTCTTTTTATTTGAAGATATAGGATTATTATCACTTCATTAATTGAACATTTGAAGAAATTCAACGCAAGTAGTTTTCAAATTTCCTTTGCGTTTCGATGGATCAATGTGTAGAAGATCAAGTAGTATCAAAAATTATCCACTTTGTTGTATCAACTCTAACATTGTATCAAAGAGCACTCTTCTCTGTCTGTTTGCATGTATGTTTACGATCTCAGTGTTTTTTTTACTTCAAGATCACGTACTTTCTCGCATCTTTCCCTTTTCGATGCATACAGGAAGTTGCAAGAGTCGCTACTGGATAAAAAGTTCTAATGTCATTTTTTAATCAAACTTCAAGATTGTTCTTTTTGTTTGATAGAGGAACATTCCAGGTTTTATTTCATATATTTTATATTTTTGTATGAAATAAGCCAGTGTGCAAAAATAATAGACCTTACAACCCATGGTTTTTTTTATATCTACTTACAATAGTGGGTAAAGATTGTTGAGCTTGTCGCAATTGAATGGAATCTTTGTCAGAGTGATACTACTTCTCATGCTGTAGAACTCGGAGGGCTCTACAATCTCACATATTCAAATGTTTTGTTCAATTTAAAGTTTTATCAAAAGAAGTTAATTTCTCTTAATTAAGATGAGTTACGAATTCCATCTTCTACAATAGCCTGATACAACCTTTTACAGACTTCCAAACTATTCCAATTTGTAAGGCTACCTTTTTTGTATAAAATTCCACTAGTAGTTGTTTCTTTTATTAGTTAACTTTATCTGAAAAAAATTTTTATTACTTTTTTGTCCGTTTCCAGATGCTAGTGTGGAATAACCATGGCTGAAGAAATCCACATACTATTCGGTCATTTTCCAATGAAAATAAATAATTATTTTGTTATGTGAAAGGGAACATCATCTGCTTTATTTCAATTTTAAAAATTATCTATTAAAAAAGTTTTGTAGTACATAATTTATTAAAATAGTTCTAAAAACTTGAATTTCACTATAATAAAACTATCCAACCATTTTTTCAAGTATTATCAAAAATTTTCAAATATATGAAATAAAACTTGAAACGTTCGTCTATCAAACAAAAAACAACCTTAAAGTTTAACTAAGAAATAACGAAGTTATTAAAATTTTTTATTCAGCTGATGACTTTTAGAATGCCCTGTACAAGCTCCTAAAAACATCCTTTACTAATAATATCTGAGTTGATTGTTGAAGATTTCGATTTGTCCTATGTGCTATGAATAAGGCATTTTTTCCATCATATTAACAATGAGAAATTTTTTGATTAACCTCCTTCCTGCTTTTAGGCGAATAATAAAATGTATTGAGAAAGTTTTGTGTTATTTAAATCGAGTCTCTTATTACTGATATTATGTTCATTTTTCAAATATAAAAATTCTCGATTAATTTTTTTTTTCATTCTTTCTGTCATGTTTTATGAGTATAAATAAAATCTGAAAAAAAAACAACGATAAGATTGTTCATTGCGTTGAACAATCTTATATTTTATTTTATTTTCTACGAAATTTAATTCGAATTGACATATACGTTTTCATTCATAATTGTTTTAGTCACCTTCATAACAGTAATATGATCAAAAAACAGTTTAAATCAAATTTACTTTATGTAAAAATAACACGATTAACAAAAATAAAAATACTAACAGATAAATATACTGCTCTAAGAAATAAAAAAAGAAAAAGAAACAGTGAAGAATAACAATGGGGAAGCACCGAAAAAACATGCGCATCAATGAAAAAATTTATTTATTGAGTGTAAAATAATAAATTGAATATATTCGATAGATGCATACTTGAACGGACGGTAGAACACTCTTGTCATTATTTTCTTTTATGTTACACCGGATAGAACACAAAAATGAGAATGTTGATGATATTTAATTATTTTTAGTCTAAAATTGACTTGCCCACCATGTTTCAACTTCGACATCCTTTTTTGCAACCGTATTTGTCGCTATCCAACTACGCCATGGATAGGGTTCGTCACTTGTCGTTGAATAATTTGCTGTTAAAGATAAGAGAAAAATATTTCATTTTAGAAGAAACAAAAATTGATTATTATGCATCTTACTCGGAAGACGTTTTGAACTTTTTTGATCTGATCTCACTGATGTATCATTAGAAACATTGGTTTGTGGTCGATAGTTTGTACTCTAAAGAAAATTAATATAAAATTTTGATACTTTCTTGAAAATGGTTCTGGAAGAAAATGATTAGACTTACTTCACTCGTTGGCGTTGGTAATGTTGTACATCTTTCTAATTTTCGTCGTGTTGTTTCTCTATGTTTTTCATCTTTTGTGCGTTTCTCGTCATCTAATTTTTTCTGCGAATCTGATGAGGCTTGTGCTTCACGAAAAAATGCTAATTCATTACTTCGTTGTAAATTTTTAATTACATTTGATTGATCTTTCTGTAAAATAAAATTGTGTATTTTTTCATTTTATAAAGACAAATGTCTTGAAACTGAGTCTTCCTAATTGAGACCACTTTTTTTCAAAAAATTTGCAAGCCTTAATTACATGAAACAAATGGGGTTGACGGAAAACGGCGAAAAGGAAAATGCCGATAAAAAAAGAGGAAAACGTCAAACTGGAAAATGTAAAAAAGCAAAATGCCGAAAAGGAAAACGTCGAAAGCGGATAATGGGAAGAAGAAAAATATCGGAAGGAAAACGTCGAAAAGGAGAAGATTCCTTTCTGTTCCTCGAAAATAACTGAAAAAGATATTCTATTAAATCATACAGGGAACGAGAGTAGAAGAGAAATGATAAGGCCAATAGATCGTGATCTAATTTTTCGTTTATCCGAATCAACAACGATAATCCAGCCAGTAGCTGCTTTGCATTGATGCCTCTATTCAGAAATCATCCATTGAGTGTGTCAAATCATTGTTGAAAAGCTGCTGTATTTCCTGATTGCTTTGGGCCAATACCCCTCATCACGTTGCATAGTGATGGGTTAAACGGGTGGAGTGAGGGTGAGGCTTTCATCGTAGCAGGCATACTGAACTCCATACTTTTCATCATACTTTACTTTTTCAATGAGTGACTATAATTGCTACGAGGCTGGAGAAGGCGTATTAGTCTGACAAGAACTAATAAGAGTTCTAATGATAAAAATACGTATATCTCGTTCAGTTATTTTCGAGGACCAGAAAGGAATCTTCTCCTTTTCGACGTTTTCCTTTTCGGCATTTTGCGCTTCTACATTTTCCTCTTCGACGTTTTGCTCTTTTTTTATCGACATTTTCCACCAAGACCAAACAAACACCGGAAGGTGACCAAGTGAAAGTGAGTGCAAAAAAGTGGTCTCAGTTCAGAGAGCCGTTGAAACACCAACAATTTACCGCTTTTATTCGTTTTAAACATTTATTTAACCAATTTCTAATTGTTAATTTGGCTACTTCTTCTTCAATAAGATATTCCAATTCTTCACGAGCTAACAATTCTTCAAATTGTAGGGATTTACGAATTTCTACAGAATGATAGGCTAACATACTAGAAAAATTATAAAAATACTTTAAAATCAAATCAATATACTAAAATAATATATTCATCAATACTTGAATATCATTTTCAATCATTTTTAGAAATAAAGACAAAAATCTTACTTTAAAACATCATGAAATGTAACATCAGCACCGTTATTTAGTTTTTCAATTTCATAACACATATGTTTGTATAATTTTTCCGTATCAACTTCTAATCTTCCCTAAATGAATTATAATAAAAAATTTTATATGTTGCTATTTGTACTATTGATGATAATTATCGCTCATATATACCTTCAATAATCTTAATAAAAATTTGACTCGTCTCGCTGGTATAACACCTTTTCTTGAAACATCCACCATATTCCAAACTGTTTGAAAATGTCTGATATCATTGTAACTAAGTAATGCATCTTCTTCATTTGAATAGAATAACGAAAAATTTTCCATAATAATAGCGACTAACAGATTTAGAACGATATATGTTATAATAATATAAAATGAGCAAAAATACAATATGGACGCTGTAAAATTACCACAATCACTTTCCCAATAATTACTACCGCGTGTACAACGTGGTGGAACAACCTATAGGAATAAAATTATTTTTAAAGATGAAGAGACGAATAAATTCATCAACATACCATACAATCATGCATGATTTTATTCCAATCTTCACCTGTTACAATTCTCATTAAAAGTACAATGGCATTAGGAACATTTTTAAAATTAGCATGTCTAAGTAAAATAAATCTATTGACATTTTTTCCTTTTTAAGTCTTAGAATAAGAAACATACCGTCCAAGTTCGGGACCAAATTTAACACAACCAAATAAGATAACACCAGCGAATGCATATACTAACATTAATAGAAACATGCCTGATATAATGAAAAAACTTTTGAAAAATGAGACAATAATTGTTAACATAAGCATTTTTAATGTAGCCTAAATAGAGAATGAGTACTGTAAGGGTAAAAAATGATATTAGTCTTATGTGAATCATACATGTTTGCCCGCAATTGTAAAAAAACGAAGAATAATCACAGTAAAACCAAATGTATTACTAAATTCTTGCTAAAAAACGAAAATGAACAGTTAGCCAGAGATAGGTGAGTCATCATCTTTTCGAGGGCGTCTATTCGCATCAAAAATTGACTCGAGTCTTTTTCTAAACCTTAATATTTTTACTAATTCATTTTTGTAAGAACATCTATGAGATCGTTTTTATTGCCTCTAGGTCTTCCATCTTGCCATGTGACAAGAAGTTCGCAGAATATTTTCAAATTTCTCTGTCTCTCTCTCTCTCTCTCTTTGCCTTCCTTTATAAACAGATGCAAGAATTAGATCTAGAATAATGCAGAGCTATAATAAACATAGCTGGCTCAAAAATGACCTAAATCAGTTTGATTCGAGTCTGACTCATAAATATTGACTAATTCTATTTTTAATTATTTTCACTTACTATGTCTTGTTTTCCAAATGATACAAAATTGAGTAATATCCATACTAATCCAAGGATAGTTACCAATAAATCAAAACGATTTCGTCGTGATTGCCAATAACCGACCACACCTAATGCCACACATTTCATAAATGCTTCGACAAGAAATAGAAATGTAAATAATGATGCTATTAATGCTGATATTCGAGTTATTTTATCTTCAACTTTCCACTAAAGATAAAATGGAAACATAAATATTATCGATCAAATTAATCATTTTTCTAAAAATATTATCTACCGGTTTATATAGTAGTCCACAATTGATTAGAACAAGAACAGCTGATGCTTTTTTAAATGCTTTATGTTGTGTTATTCCAAATACATATGAACGAAATGTACTATTTTCTGGACGTGGTGGTGTACGCATTGGTTGAACTAGTTTAATACGTCCTTTTAAATCCATCCAACGACGTTGATCAACAGTTAACAATGCTGTGCCCTAAATTAATTTTTGACATTATAAAATTTAATTAATTACAAATTTTAATTTTCCTACTTTGTTTTCACTGTAATTAGCAATAACAACGCCAACAAATAGTGTTAAACCAATTAATGTACCAATAAATACAAATACATGAACAAATATAGCATGTTGCTAAAATGATATATATTAATCTATCTTTAATAGAGAATATTTAATCAAATGATTAATTATTTACCGATCCCATTCTATTCACAATAATATCACGAATTTCCAGCCAACCTTCTAATGATAATACTTCGAATAATGCCAACATTGCACTACCAATATTATCAAAATTAAAATTATGAGGATTAGCCCATACTCTTGGTACACGCATCATTGGAATAGTACCACCCAAATTCATTTTTGAAACATATAATTGTCTCATAAATGTACCATTACAACCTGGCTGAAAACAAAATATTATACTGTTTTTTATAGAAATTCTAAACTTTTAACTCGATCATTGAATACCTGATCTTCATATCTCTCTCGATCATTACATCTGGCTAATCGACCACCAATAATTTGTACACCATAAATGGCAAATATGAACATGAGAACAACTAATAATATTGATACTAATAAAATTTCTTTAACACCACGACACACTTCATAGACAACTTTTCTCATATCTGGTACAAGTATAAATATTCTCAATGGTCTTGTTGAACGTAAAAGCATAAACATTTGTGCTGGACTATTTGGTGGAACATGTCGTGGTAGCCAACATAAAAATATTAGACTAACCAAAAATATAAGAACATCAACGAGACCACCAAAATCATGAATTAATGCGCGTGGTGTAAAAAATAGACCATGAGCAAATATTTTTAATGTTAATTCAACACTCATACATATAACAAATGTATATTCTGCAACCTAAATATAAAAATTTAATATAAATATTATTATAATAAAATTATCAATAAAAATATACTTGTAATAATGGTTGATCAAAAACTCTATTAGGTGGTGTTTCAAATGACATGCTCACAGTCGATATAATAGTAACAATAATCATAATCCAATCGATATATGTTACTAGTCCAAGAAATTTACTAAGAACAAAATAGTATAAGTGTAATATTACAAAATAATACACAATAAGTGTAATATACATACTGTAATTGTTTATATCGACTTTTTGATTCTTGTCCAGTAATTGGATCTTTTGTACTTATTTTATAGCGAGCTTCAACAACTAATTGACAAAATTTTCGAAAATTACTTTCACGAGCAATGGTAAATAATGGTGTATCAAAATAAGGATGATTTTCTCTTAAATCTTCTTCTTGTTGATTACTAAAAAATAAAAATATGATTCATTTGTCATATCTCTAGAAAAAAAAAACATCTTTTGTCAACAATAACAACAACATTACCGTTTCAATTCAGCTTGTTGTTTTCTATATTGAAATACTTTAATATCATAATCATCTTGTAGTCGACCTTGAAATCCAGCAACATCACCATTTTCTCGAACAACAAGCACAGGTTTTGGACGATAACCAGAGCGTCTCATTGAATTTCTAAAAAAATAAATAAAAAAAATAAATAAAATTTTAATTAAAATTTAACATTAATCATTAATCTATTACCTTCGATCGAGACGAATTTTATTTTGTTGTACAAATACAGATATTTTATTATCATTCATACTAGCAAGATGAACTTGTGATTGATCACCACTTAACAAACGTTGATTACTCGCACTCCTGCAAAGTAAAAACAAATTAATATATAATTATATAATCAGATTTTAATTATGAATTATTTATTACCTAACAATATTTGATACAGCTGTTCGTTTCATACTTTCACCAGTTGGTCGATGTTCGGGTAAATGAATTGTTCTAACAGCATGTTTTTTACTATAAATATTTAATGTTAATTCTATGGGTAATGTATAAATATCATCTTGATTAAGAAATTGTTTCATAAAACTATCACGTATTTTTGGTACTTCAAATTCATGTGGTAAACGTGAAAATTGTACCATTTGTGGATGATCTGGAAAACGTTCAAATATTCTTAGACGCCATGGAAGTTTTTGTTGTGTTTCAGTACTAGCTTCACGTGTTTTTAACTAAATTAAATAAAAATTTTAATTAATAATAATAATTTCTAATGAATATATTAAATTGAAAACTACAAACTTGTCGAATCATTTTAACATCTTCTTCTAATTCAAGATTGTCCAATATGACAGCAACGAATAATGAAAGTACAATCTAAAATTAATTATTTATTAAATAATTAGTATATCAATATAAATGAGATATATTACGAACATTTATGTTTATTTAAGATAAATATACCAATAACACAACACTACAAGACAAGACATAATACACGCATGCAACAAAATCTCTTTTCATTTTCTTAAGCTATAGAGATGATACAAATATTTGACAACGATGAAACGATTCTATTTTTTAAATGGTTTTAAAAAACATACCAGACTAACAACGACATGATAAATAATGAAATAGCCTGCACATGCTGGTGCCATCCACCAAATACTTGCAACCATTGTATAATGCATAATATCAACCCAACCTTTCTGTGTTAAAACTTGAAACATAGACATTAATGCCTAAAAATAACCCATCTCTTTTTTTCCTTTATTGAATTTTAAAATATTTACTACGAACTTAGATCTTTTAATTAAAATAATTCTATTTTATTTTCAATAGACTATCAATATCTTTATTATTTAAATATAAAAATTCATGCCTTATATGATTTTTGTGTGTGCATCAAACTCAAAATAATTTGCATTTATACAAAACTGCATGCATTTTTTTTTCATCCTTCTCGTATCCACTTACGGAATTTATTAATAAATGAAAGAGAATGAAATAGACGGCTGTCAAACAGACAAATATAATACCAAAGTCATAGACTTCATCCATTGCTGAATACATCACTTCAGTCCATCCATCATTAAGAGCAATATGAAACATACTCATGAATGCCTATATACGATGACTATCATTCGTTATAGACTCAAATTTTATTGAAATAAAATTATACAACTTACTTCAGGAAATGTTTCAAATTGTCGAAGTTTTGTCATAAAACAAAATAATTGCATACTAATCGATGATGTTATCAATAACAAACACATTGTAAATAAAATAAGACTTCCAAGTTTTCGTCCAGGACCAAATATCTAAAACAAAAATTGATTATAGTGTGTACACTATAAAAAAAGAAAAAAAAAGAAAAGAAAAGAAAAGAATGAGTTCTTTATTTTGTTACATAGAAGAAACTGTTTTTTAAGATATCTGAAGAGCTTAAAACAACATTTTGCGCTTTTAAAAATCTCATATTGAGTTCTTCACTCTTTATCTGAAAAGTAGAGAAGAACGCATTTTAAACTAAAAAAAATCAGTTCTTTATATAGGATAAATGAAGAACTCACTTTCCTTTGTTTTTCGAGTGTTCTAAAAGCTTTAAAAAAAAAAACACGGATTTCTTCTTTTTTTTTTTTTACCGGGTAAAAAAAAATCACTTATGTATAATAATGAAAATAACTACCTTGTTAATAAAATCTTCTAATAATGGACTCGATTTTAATAAACGTGCAACTCTAAGAACCTAAAAATGAATATAAATTATTAAATAATAATATATTTTGTATTTGTTTTGTTCTATATATACCTGAAAATATGTTAAAACACTTCTATAAAACAATAAATGAAGTGTTGTACCAACAGCTAATAAAAATTCAAATTTAAATGTTGAACGACGAATATAATTTTTAAAACCAAGTGAAAACATTTTAAATAATGCTTCCAAATTAAAAAATAATGTAAATAATGCCTATGAAATATATATATATATATAATTGAAAATATTTCATTTTCTATTATAATAAACATTAATTCTTACTTCTATTTTATAATATAAATCTTTATTTTTTTCATCAATAGATTTATCGTGTGTATGTTTAATTGTTGCTGTAAATATTGTATTGGCTAATATAACAATCATAACTGTTGTTGTAAATATTGATGATTGAGCAATTTTTTGAAAGAAAACGGGTGCTATACCCATTTTTTTATTTTCATTTATATTTACAAGTTTTAAACTACTATCATCCGCTTTATGAAGTACTTTTGTTGCTTCGACATCGGCTGGTGCACCACGAGAACCCCACATTTGTTGAAATTGAACACGAATTTCAGCAAATGTTTCAATAATAACAGCAATAAATACGTTCTATTTGATAGAGAAAAATAAAAGAAATTTTAGTAAAAAAAAAAAATAAAATAAAATTTTATGAATTAAAAAATATATGTTTACTTTGACTAGCCATGCAAGAAAAAAGATCATTGTTATAAAATAGAAGAATGCACGCCAAGATGGAAGACTATCGATAGCACGATACATTAAGAATACCCAGCCTTCTTGAGATGCTGCTTCATAGACGGTAAAAAAACTTGTGGCTAAAAATAGAAAAGATCAATATAAAAATTGAAATATTTTATTTAAGATCACTCTCTTATACCCAATTCATCAAAACCATTATAGCCACGTTGATTTCGTGGAATATCAATTTTTTCACAAATAAATCCTTGTGGACAATGAAAACCATCTTTTGTTGGTGAACAATAGGTATCAGGTATCATTAAATCGGCTTTTGTTACATTTCTAATAATAAAAATGGCAATAAAATAAAATAAAATTGATTTATGTTTTTAAAATTGTCTATTAATATTTACGTCATATCTGTTCCGTTTAGTACACAATGGAATGTTAGTGAACCAAAAAATTGTACACCCAAAATACCGTATAAACTCATGAAAAATAGAAAGAACATGGTAACATTATAAATTTGTGAACTCGATCGTCTAAAAAAAAAAAAAAATATAAATAAAAAAAATAAATTTTTAATATTAATAGATAAAAATATTGAAGATAAATATTTTTTACATACTGTAAAATAGATTTAATTTGACTTTTTTGGTAATTCAAATTTTAAAAATGTTTTTAATACTTTAACGAGAATAAATGGTCTTGGTGAGCGTATAATTGTAAAATATGTATAACTTCCAATTAATTTTGTCAATTCAAATATCTTTAAAAAGAGAATTACGCACGATTATTAGAATTATTATAATAATATAATGTTAAACAATATCACCTGTAGTATAACCGAACAGTATACACATAGCACCATAACAGCATCAAACTGATTCCATCGATCACGAAAATATGGAGCATCACCCTAATAAAAAGTAAATTTTTTTATTATAAAATAAATGACAAAAAAAAAATGTCGAACATACCGATAGAATGCCTCTTGTTTTCATTTTTGCTGCCATTTCAATGGTAAGTATAATTGCACAAACAATATCGATAACAAATGTTACATATTGTAAAGACCGCACATATTCAAATGTTTTTGGTGTATTCATACAAACACTAATAAAACTAAGTAATCCCGTTAAACGAAATATATATTTAACAATTGGTTTATTCATCCATTCTAAATTACGTCCTGGTATATCTTCTTGAGTATAATCCATTAATGGGATAAAATCAGAACGAAAACTTTGTTTTCTCATCATATTTAATACAGACGAGAGTGCAGCACCAGCAGCTGACGCGGCCATTTTATTTTAATGTTTTTTAAATAAATATTAACTATTAAATAAAAGAATAAAAC